CTCCTCCTCTTCCTCCTCCTCCTCCTCCTCCTCCTCCTCCTTCTTCTTTCTTCTGATTTTTTGAGACAGGGTCTTGTTCTGTTGCCTAGGCTGGAGTACAGTGGTGGGATCTTGGCTCACTGCAAACTCCACCTCCCAGGCTCAAGTCATTATTGTGCCTCAGCCTCTTGAGTAGCTGGGACCACAGGTGTGCATCGCCACACCCAGCTAATTTTTGTATGTTTAGTAGAGACGGAGTTTTGCCATGTTGCCCAGGCTGGCCTCAAACCCCTGACCTCAAGTGATCCATCTGCCTTGGCCTCCCGAAGTGCTGGGATTACAGGCATGAACCACCATGCCTGGCCTAGTTCCTACATATCTCTAGCGCTCAGTACTGTTTCTCATTATTGTAGAGGCTCAATGCTCAATCAATATTATTGAATAAATGAAGTGCATGAATGATGTAAGCAAAAAAACTAACTCTATTATTTCACATACAAAGTGAAACTCCAAAGACCATAAGCCAAATCACCTTGAAAAATTTGTTGCCTGGAAGATGGTGGACCTATTATTTCCAGCGGTTTTCACAAATTAATTGATTTTTTGACTCACTTAGTGTGGGCTTAAACCATTTATCCAAAAGCGCTACAATATATCCTTTGAATTACTCAAACAATTAGAGATCTGAAAGCTGAAATGATGAGTTAAACACTTAGTTGAGCCATTTCTATTAGCACTTTGCTCTCATTGCCTGTCAGCGTCATCTCTGCAGTGTGAGCTTCAGTGCACACTGGGGTCTTCCGGGGACCGATCGGATGAGTTCTCTTCTCGTTTCCCTGCCTGCTCACTGGAGGAAACTGCGGATCTGCCCTCTGGTGACATCTTGTCCTTGCAGCACAGGAGCTGCCTGCCAGACCTTCCGCACGGAGCTGCTTCCTTGTCTGGGCCCTCGCCTGCCACCGCCCCTGCACCAGCAATATTTAATAACATGAAGAATACAAAGACTGGTGAGATGAGTCACTGTTGTGAGTGACCAGCCAAATTGAAATCTCCTTTAATGGAAAGGCCTTGAAATAAAGGAATCCAAATGCACTCTAATTTCCAGTTTTAGTGGGAATTAAATCCCTTTCCAGAGAGGACGCTCACATGTGCTTCTTTCTGTTGAATGCCATACAACACCTCTGAACTTGAATTAGGTTCCAAATTCTTTCTTCACCCAGTGTTCTGTAAATTTCAGCATTTGCATGCCATCTTCCCTATGTTCTTTGCCCTACCTGCCTGG